CACTCGTTTTCAAATTTGTGGTACCGTTAAGTTATCTACGTTTTATTTTGAATTGTGTGGGCATTTTGCTAAGAATTAATTGACAACGCAATATTTGGCGAATTTTAAATTTGCTATTATTTTTACGGTTCGGTTTTAATGTTTGTTATTTCTGCAAGTGATATTTGTTGAGCATAATTACATTAACAATACCAATTAATAAAAAAGGGAAAATAAAATACTTTCGTTTATATAATAAAATAAAATTTAAGCAGAGATTTGTGTGATTTTTTCATTTTGCAAACAATTAAGTGATGTGCTGTATGTATGTATATATAAATACATATATTTTTTTTAAGTTTTATTAAATCTTTCTTTGCAAGAACTAACAAAAACTTCGAAAATCATAAAACTAACGATTAGCAAAAGAATCAGAATATAATAATAACAATGTTTATAAATTATAACAATTTAACAAAAGATATCATAAAGGATACTATATGCCTTTCTTATTATAATAAATATTTTGAAGGATATCTGCCGCGTAGTAAAATAGAATGCGGTAAATCCCATAATGACAAGTGAAACGTAAATAAAAAGTTTCTGTCTCCTCTGTTAAGGTATTAACCGCGAAATCGTTGTGAATTACGAAGCTTTCACCACATACCAAGGGTCCCTGCATATTGCTCTTAAGGCCTTGCGCTGTAGCCTATGAATTTTATCTAAGCTGGATTTAGATGCTAAGTCCCAAAGTTCGATGCACATTATAAAGTAACACCTTGTTTTCTAAGCTTAGTTTGGACTTAGAACCTTTAATACAAGGCAAATTTGCGATTTTCAACTTACCGTGGCAAATTTTTTATCAACGCGTATTTAGTTTTTTTCAAGTGAGTCTTTTATCTACTGTGACTCCTAAGTTTGTAAGAATTTCTTTATGTGGTATTGTTTTACCATTTACAGAGATTGAAGCACATACATATGTATTTTCTTATGATAAATGTTACTTATGCAAATATATTTAGACTCATTAACTTTCATTCTCCAAGTAGTTAGCTATATCTATCTATAAGAGGCCACAACGGAGCTCGAGTGTACACTAAGGCCCGTTTTCACAATGTCCGATTAACCTTTAACCAGAAGATAACTAACCGTCAAATAGGTTGATATGACACTTTCGTTTTCACCAAGTTCTGGTTACCTAGCTTCTGGTATGATATTTTTTCAATTATTCTAATATGATGTACAACAAAAATAGAAATCGTCTTTCAAATTTTTTAAGCACTAAAGAAAGTATTTTAATAACATTGGCAGAGCGCTAATCCATTGAAATAGAAAATAAAAATTACGACGCAGCGGTCTGGGAGGACGAAAAGCCTGGGAAATCATTGTATTGAATTTAAAGTTCAAGTGGGGATTCCAGTACAACAAAAGTTGTTTTGTTCAAGCCGGCTCTTCAGAGGACTCCGCTTGCTTGTGGCATTCTGATGAATGATTAGAAAAGTGCCGCTATAGCAATATACACTTTATTCACTTCCCGAAGTGCAGTCGCCACGCTTACTCAGCAGAAATCAGCCACACAAATCAAAAAACTTTCCGGAGCATGCCTAAGTGCTTAATTCCTGCAAAATCAAATAAATTATCAACAATATTTATTTACTCCAAGTTTATTATATTCACAAACCTTTTAGTGCGGCTTCTAAATTTATTTGCTATTTTCTTCCAAAAAGTGCTTTGCACCAATTTTGGAAGCACGAAATCTACGAGTAAAAGCTTCTTCATTATATTTCTCAAAAAAAAAAATTATTTGTGTATGGGACATTCTTTCTCTATCAGATTATTTTCTGGTTATAAGCTAATCGCCACGTAATATTGGCGTTAAGGTAACCGCTGATTAATTGACAGATGCGCTTAACCGGAGATGGTGAAAACGAATTTTACGCTACCTTCTGATTAAGTTATGATTAAGTGCTTAACCGGAGATGGTGAAAACGGCCCTAAGTATTGCCTTATCATCCGCAAATGTTGTTGTGACAAGGCTTCGGTAAGATCACTTGTGTAGATGAAATATAAGACGTACCCTAAAACGCTTCCTTGTGGAATACCCGCAAATATTTCATACTATTCAGTAGTGTAACTTCTTCTGTCAATAAGGCAGCTTTTCATTGTGGATCTTCAACAAATGTTAGAAGAAAATGAGAAGCAATGAGAAGCAAGACAGCAAATGAGATACCCTTTTACTCACCATTTGGAATCCCAGTTTACGCATTTATTGGGATATCTCATTGGTGATCTCTTCAGTAATGAAGCAAACCTTTTCGCCGTGGAATACATAAGTCAGAAAATATTTTGCGCTTGAAGAGAGTCCATTACTTACATTTCTTCTTTAAAAACGCCAACGACGAACCTGTGACTGTCATGCGTTATGGTCGTATGATAACCGACTTTTTTTTTACTTCCAATCGAAGAACACGATTTGGATAATATGAAGATGATGCCATATGTCACACAACACAACCGAGTGAGAGAAATTTCATGGCCGCTTAATCTCTCGTTTGGCCAAAAAGTGGTCAAAAGTTATCTCAAATTATTGCAAAAGTTCATGAGTAGTGTAGTTTTCCACATATTATACGAGGGACTAAACAAAAGTTTAGTAAGTTTATAAAAAAAAAAGTTTTTGGTGTTTATTCTTCTTCTTTTTTTAATCTTTGTAGGTAAAAAAGGACAAAGATTACGAATAAATTAAAATATCGCCGTTAATTCAATGCATTTCTTAAGCCTATAGATCCACTTCCGAAAACAGTCTCAATATCTTGCATTTTAATTTTGCCAAGTATATCATTAACAGCATTAATTATCTCCTAGATGCAATGAAAGACCTTTCCTTTTAAAGTTTTTTTTTAATATTTGGAAATAACCAGAAATCACAAGAGAGAGAGAGAGCTATAAGGAGTATCGTGCTGAACGTTTATCTTCGAGTCCAGAGGTCGCAATAAAAATACTCGTTATTTCAGCAGTGTGGGATGGCGCGTTGTCAGGATTTGAAAAGTAACACCGCAAATCCTCTTTCTTCTGTTTTTTAACTAATTTTGGAAAACCTGTGGTAAATACCACTTTCAGTTGCTGTCTGACTCTTCTCCAGTGGAATAAAAGCTCCGATATTAGATCGGTTGAAGTATACTGGCATCATTAGATTTATTGGATATGTTTGCTCCTGTCGGGCTTTATACCATGTGCTGCCGTTTGGTTTCTGGATCGTACTTATCGAACCAAGATTAGTTACCAGTTACGACTTTACTGAAGTTTCTAGGCTGACTATTTTCGAATTTGTTTAGGAAAAATTGAGCAAAATGCACTTGAGCGAATTTTTGGGCTTCATATAAAACTCGTGGTACCCATCTTGCAAATTGCTTCGTGTATCCCAGCTGATTACACAATATTCGTGAAACAGCCATGCCCTTTATGCCCATTGCATTAGCAATCATTTCTTGCGTCAATCGTGGATTACACCAGAACTACACTGACGGCATCGGTGGAAGATTTTGGTCGAACTTCTCGGGGCTCGTCCTCTACGGAAATTTGTCCGGTCTGGATTGTTCAGAACCGCTTAGAAGTCGTCTTCAAAGACGGTACAATCGTTCCATATGAAATTTGGAAATACAAATGAAGGTGCAATAAATTTTCATGTAATTATTTGAAAATAGAGCTGTAACTTGTTAGATCGAAAATTAATTTATATTTTTAATAAATTGATAAATATTTAAAATTTGTAATTTTTATTTTAAACGGAATGGAGTTAAAAAAAAAACAATAGCCTATAGGCAATAAATTGGGTAACAAAGACATTTGTTTGGAATAACTAATGGGTAACACGTCGGGTAACTAAGACATTAGTTTTCAATAACTCATCGTCAAGATATATGCTACCACAAGCTTTTGTTGCAATAACACATGTAGCACACGTAGCAGATATGGTATAAAATATATATGTTTTCAACAACCTGTTGTTAACAGTTCTAGGAACATACGCATTTATTTTGAATAACAGGTGTTGAACTGATACGGTAACAAAAAATAGAAAAAGGCAAATATATGTCGCATACCGATAAATATAATGCGAGTGAGTGAAAAAGAGAATCACACGTACGTGAAACAAAGCCAGGAAATTTGTTATATTTTCCCCCACGGCTAGAAGAAAAGTAACAATTCAAATAATAAATGCATGTAAGTAAAGTAACAGACGGATAACATGTTAGGCAACAGCTATCCGTCTTACATGGTCACTTTCTTCTTTTGACTTATGTAGAGCCTCGCGCCCCTGCTAAAATCCTGTAGATAAATCAGTTAAATTTGCAATACATTGTTCTAAAATATTACGATTATTAGAAGAAATTTGAAGTTTATAAATTAGTTCAAAAATTTTATCAACCAAAATAATAATTTTTTTCCAATGGTTTTCCCTGTTGTTGTTGTTGTCACTGCAAAATATTCCCCAAAGCACTTTTTGGGGAATGTTGCGGGAGTGACAGTCCTTGGCCGGATAAAAATCTGCGTCGTTCCGGTATAAAGACCCGACTGTCGCGGGAACAATTGGATTTTAGTCACCTATTACAGGACAGGCATGCCTTACGGCGGGTAAATTCTTAAACCCCTAACACGCAGGGGAACGATTCTCCTTAATACGCCTCAATGATTTCCCAAATACAAATACTTCGAATTCGAACATTGGATTGTTAATTAAAACTCCCAAAATTTGTGTTGCAATTTCTTAGTCACAAAGGGCGTAATCAAAGTTTATTAATTACCCAACAAACACAATTCGTTATACTATACATAACGACTTATTACTATAACAGTACTAAATTTTTTTCTGCGAAACTATGTTATTGGTAGCAATTATTACTCGCCGTCAACTCACCGAACAGTACTAATAACAACGAGACATAGATTCCGCTTGCTGGTGGCAACACAGTTTTGCCTAATCAGCTGTTTACATGAGATATATGCAATTACAACAAAGATATTATAATCTATTATCAGTGGCATTTTTCTGTCAACAATTGAGTCACCTTCATTTTGACCTAAGGAATAAAATTAAAACTTTTATAAATTTTTTTAAATAAAAAGTATTAGTAATAATGGAACTAGTCGGTTTCGTACATAAATACGAATGGGGAAAAACTGGGAAGGATTCTGCTGTTGCCCAGCTTGCGGCACTGAATGATCCTGAATTTAATGTTGAACCACATACTCCTTACGCTGAACTCTGGATGGGTTCTCATCCCAGTGGACCATCCAAGTACAAATCTAGTGGTGATGTCTTACAAGAAGAACTACCATTTTTATTAAAGGTGTTAAGTATAAATAAAGCACTGAGTATACAAGTTCATCCAAATAAGGTAAATTGTAGGATATGATCATAACTACGATTTTAATGCACTTCATATTTACTTCAGTCAGAAGCCAAGTTACTGCACATGAAAGAACCGAAAATATATAAAGACCCCAATCATAAGCCTGAAATGGCAATTGCGCTTACGCCATTTGTAGGATTATGCGGGTTTCGACCACTACCAGAAATAAGAGATATATTAATAAATATCACTCCACTCAAGGAATTGGCTGTGAAAGATTCTAATGATCTCGATCTTTTGGTTGCAAATGATGAACTTGGCTTACGCAATTGTTATAAAACATTGATGAACGCTGACGTGGCCACAATTGGCAAATGCATTGATACAATTTCAAAAGACTATGGCAAAGGTAATATTATTAAAAATATTAAGCATGTTTCATTAACAACATTATAAATGTACACTCACATATTTCCTTAGAATTATGTAACTATGGCGTTCTGGAAATTTTTAATACTCTAAAAAATGACTTTCCAAATGACGTTGGCGTACTCTCACTATTCTTTTTAAATGTCGTCCGCCTTCAACCTGGTCAAGCAATGTTTCTTGGAGCAAATCAAATTCACGCTTATCTATCAGGTGATTGTGTCGAATGTATGGCTTGTTCGGATAATGTAATACGAGCTGGATTGACACCTAAATATAAAGACCTCAAACAGCTACTCAGCTCGTTGGTATATAAAGGCGATCTAGCTGAAAGCAAAATTTTTACTCCAGAACGATTTGATGATCACCGGTTAGTATTCAAGCCACCAGTTGAAGATTTTTCTTTGATACAATTAAAACTGCAACCTTCAGATGGAGAATATATTTTAAAAATTGAACAGAGTCCTGGTATATTACTTGTAATAAGTGGACAACGTTATTTGGAAACCAAAGGTTTAAAGCAAATAAAGCTAAAACGTGGCGCCATTGTATATTTACCCTTCGAAGCTGGCACAGAAATACGTTTCTTATCTAATGAAGAGCCTGAAAACCAGGAATTTTTGGCTTACATCAGTACTCCAAATGCACCACTATTCGTAAAAACGTAGTACACTATAGACGATGCGTATATGTATATATATTTTTAAATAAGAATTTGATTTTAGACTTTTGCTATGTTTATATTCGTTAAAAGTATTTTTATCAGCATGATAACTGTTATAAATAAATTGAGTGATTATTTTATATTTTTATTTTTTTTAGTTATTTTCAATGAAAATTTTCTTCTGTTCTCCATTGTAGTACAGTTCAAAATTAATTTCATATACCTTTGCATGTTGTGTTAACGTTTTAATAAAATTAAATTAATTTTTTAAATTTCTGTTCCTTTGATATATCAATACAACGCATTTCCCATAACTCGGCCAATCTACAGTGAATACAAATAGTACAAATAAAGTTGATTGAATATATTGTATATCACATCTAACTATTCTTTACCGTAGCAAACTTATTTGTAAAATAAAAAATAAAAAATATTCAAATATTTATTCGTATGAAAAACGGAATAAAATATTCACTGAAAGAAAGTTGCTTAATTTTTACACAGTATAAGGACTATAGCTTGTCGTTCACAAAAACCACTGCATTGAGAAAAAATATATAAACCAATATCGTAACCATGGTCGAAAGCCAATATCGCAACCATGGTCGAAAGTAAAGGGACTTCTCCCTACCAAATGTTTGATATTAAAGCCGCCTTTTAGGAACACACATGCCTCCTTAAACCAACTCATCTAACCCCTCTCTCGGTCAAAAACTTTAACCTCTCATGTTGCGGAAAGTTTGGAAGATATAGAAACACGATAATTCAGATAAGCAGAATAACTGGATTTTTTCAGTTAAGTATGCCAACACCCTTGTATATGTGGGAGATTTTCAAAAATTTCAATAGCTGTATACGTACAGTAAAAAGTGAGATATCTAAGACTCTATCCCACTCTGTCCTTCATAACTTTTTTACAGCCGATATTTCATTTTTGCCACCCCTAATGGAATATGAATCCCCTGAGTTGCGGCCCCTGGAATGCATTAACGTCTTAAAACTTTCTCTTCATCTTGTACTTTGTGAATGACAATTTCGAAAATTTTCACATCGGAGATCAGACTGCAGATATTTATATTATATATATATACATTTATTCATATTAACATTTATCTATTTTAAGACTTACATAAATAACACATAATTTAAATAATCTACGCGGTATTTATTTATATAATAAATTAACAAGAACAATGTTTTCTAAGGATTTCGAATACAGATTAAATACATTTAATTAATATATGAAGACGACGACTTACTACCTACAATGTAAAAGGCAAAGTATTTCATTACATATGCCTATATACATATATAAATATATATAATATTTCAAATTGCCAATTTGACGCGTTACACAAAATAGTAGACTCTCGAGCAGGGGAAGCTTTTTTTTATTCAAATCAATAGTTCCATTTAAAGTATATTACCTTTTTTGCACGCAATTGTAGTTTTAAGTTTGTATAAGTGTATAAAATTGTGTACTTGCATTGGTCTAAAAAATCTACTGCAATACGAAGTGTATAATCTCCAATATTTTTATATAAATTTTTTTTTTGCAAAAGGAATAATTCCTTCTAAAATTGGTACTGTGATAATTGAAATCTCTCAAAAGTTTATACAAAAATGTACTATGTTTAGAATAACATTTAAATTTCATGTGAAAAGTGTATATATATTAATGTACGTTTGTATATACAGATGCGTCAAGGCTGTTCCCATATCCGCATCTTAATAAACGTCTTGTATAAGTGTATAATGTAAGTAGTTACTTAGGTGGTGGGTAGTTAGTTCAGCATTTGTATATTAGTATATTAGTCATTCTCATTTTCAGCATATTAGTGTATATTTTGTATATGTATATATTTTGTATATAATTACTTCCCATGTCTAAATTGTAAAAATGCTTCGAAGCTGGTATGTCATTTTAAAGTTGTGCTGTTTTGTGACTATTTTTGAATATCCTTTGACGATACCTAACTTTTATTTTATTACTGGTCTTAAGTTATTTAACTTTTGAGCAAATTATTTGCGCGTTTGTTAACACCGTCCATGCGAACATTATTAGCATCACCCTTGGCATTAATACGATCAACTTGTTTGTTTTGATTTTCTAATTCTGATCCCATATCCAATGCCATATTTCGTAAATTACCTAACATTGAGTTAACCTGCCCAATGTTTTCATCCATTTCATCTTCTCTGGCATCATTAGTAATACGTGGAATGTATCCACTCTGAGGTAGTGCACCACCCATTCTATCGCGCTCGTCTACAACTCTTTGTGGTTGGCTATTGACAATTTTTCCGTCTTCATTCGCTTTCCATGCATGATCACCGTCGTCTTTAATTGCCACCTTCTTCCATGGCACAACGCACAAACCACAACATTTTTCCATTCCACTTAAATTCTTTTCAGCTTCCCTCATATCCGCATTGATACGATCCATACCTTCTTCGATTCGATCAAGCTGTTCCCCTTGGTCGTCTAATGCTACAAGTGTGCGAATACCAGCTTCCTTACTTTCTTCCATAAGGTTAAGCATCCGCCGAGTGCTTTCAAGGGATTCGTCTGCCACCTGTGCAGATTTCAGTTGCAATTCTTGCAATTCTGTGCGAGGTACTTCCGGTACAGCCATCTTGATGATCTCAACTTAGATTCTATGAATATTCACTTCACTGTAAATTTGTAAAAACAATTAATAATTTAGCAAACAGTTGTTAAACACTCAGCTCACATTCCAATCTTTTTCCGTTAATTATTGAGGCCGTGACTCATTCGGAAACTAGACGTTTATTTCTAGATTATTGTTTTAAATAGCATTAAATATTTATGAAGTGCTTCCTTTACCTGCGCCCTTGAACCCTAATGATATTAACTCGATAAATCTTGCAAATATTCGTGACGAAAAATCCACCGCCTCTCTAAAACTTTCTTTTCCACAATTTTTCTTTGTACACATATCAGGGTTGCATAAAAAACTTCTTCCTATTTTCTTAAATTTTTTTTTCGCTGAGGATTTTCAGAGTACATTCATAATAATGTGTTCTCATAGGCCATGATGCAAACTTCATGTTGTCGGCTACGTAACTACAGCTTGTGTCGTAGGCTCCATGATGTACACTTGGAAAACAAGTAAAGCTATAAACAATTACAACCGTTTTGTGAAATAAATGTTATTCTTTATAGATTCTTAAAAAATGTTCATATATGTAGTTTTAGTATAATTTATTTAGAAATAAATAATAAAATAGTCGGAATTATGAACAACTGTCAGAAAAAACGACAATTTTTATTTGAATTCAGACGTAAATTTATTTCTGCTGTCAAACTGATATACAGAACTAATTTACTAATTTTGGAAAAATTTGAAAAAAGTTTAATGATACTTTTCTCAAATTGAATGGTTTCCGGGAATACTCTGAAAAATCCATTTTAATTATCTAGGGCTGTATTTGAGCTGGCTGTGAGTATATAAAAACAAAGAAACGCACAATTCGGTGGCTTTTATTTAACAACCCTATGATCAAACCCGAAGAATTTAGGAAATCTTCGCGGCTTAATTTACGATAGGCATTAAAAGCGTTAAATGTAGGAATTTATACTTTGGTCCGATCCCGTCGAAACAGCACGTTTCATAAGCCAACAGCTAGATGATCTCGGTGGCTTAGATTGATTTTAAACCTGTCCTTAAGGGGGGTTATTGTAGCCTCTACAACAACTACAAACATCCACCACACCGTTTTCAAAGTAAGTTGGCTGAAAGTTGCGTAGACTGGCTACTCTAATTGAATGCTCCATAACCTTCATCTTTCAAATCAAAAGAAAGGCGAATAATCATACTACTTTTAGGTATGCGGATTTTATATATTTATACGATATTGATTATATCATTTGGTTGGTCCCTAAGGCCGTAAAACCATTACACAGAGCCTTGATGAGAACAGTAACTATAGTACGGACATCAAGGTTGTGAAAGAAGTAACTTCCAAGTCTGAATCGGAGCTATAACAGTTTTACACAGTTTCATTAAGACGCCGAGATTTTGAGCTGGAACTGAAAATGAAAGGACAACCGACCACAGTGAAAATCTAACCTAAAGAGCTTGCTGGTCACAATGAGAGAGCTTGAAGCAATGGGATAGCGAAGTTAATGTAGTCATAATACTTATTTTAAAAATTTAGTTCTATCAATAACTTCATTTTATTTATTTACATAGTTTGAAATTTAATAATACAATATTAAAAAAATTAAAATTTCTACTTAATAAATGAAGCAAATTTAAAACGAATTTTAAACAGGTAAAAAATATAAATTATTTTCCTACAATGGTCTATATTCGTGAAATCTGGTCGTAGTTTTAAGTAGAAGAATTACGGGCGTTTTCAAAGAACTTCGTGGTGGTTATGGTCGACGCAATCTATGCATCAGGAAGCTTGTAAAGAAAGTTTGGTGAAGCCCACTTTTATTTTTGTATACCTTCAAATACCATGCGTAAATTTGCCCTGGACTACACAAACAACACAAATGAGGTTTTTGATTTTGCATCCTTTCAATTGTTTTCACCTGTGCTGAATTCGCCTTGCTTGTTGATTTCAATAACTTGTTGAGTTGGTAACAGTAGCTTACTTGACGAATAGTGAACATATCACAGGGCACAACATCTGCCAAGAAATTGTTAAAACGGAAACACGTTTTGTAATTTTCATATATCATAATTTTCCCTTGTTTTTATTAAAATTTCTGAATAACTAAATTTTATTTAGTCTAAAATTTTTTTATCGCTACTTATAAACGCTTTTCTTAAGTACTAAATTTCTTATGAAGAGGACTTATTGCAACCGTGTGTAAATTTTTGACGAAAACTGTGGTTGAAAGAAGAATAGAAAAATTTGCTAAATTAGTTGAGTTCTGTTTTGCACGTTGAACGGGTGGGTCTTTTTGTTGTAATTTTTACTGACGCATAAAAGGTTAATAGTTCTAGCGTCGCGCTTTTAATTTATGTTTGTTCAGCATTTTCGAAAGTATTATTGTTCCTTTCAAGTTGGAAACATATCGCAATTTGCCAAAGTCTTTTTCGTACGTTTTGGAAGTGTAGAGAAAAGCTGTATATTAAAAAGTGCATACCTACGCTAATAAAAAATTGGTTTAGGCAGTGGCCGTTGTGACGTGACGGCAGCAGAAGCAGAAGAAGCGAAATAGTACAAAAGAAAATTTTAGTAAAATAGAATAGGAAAAGTTTGTAACGAAAAGAGGAAGATCAAAACTGGTCAAGTGCAAAAGCGTTGTTACTGTCCCCCAGCTACCTTGGAGGTAGCTATTGACGAGCTTTACGTTTTGTGCTTCCGTCGAATGATAGTAACGTGGACGAACGTATATTGCGCGACGCGATACGGTGAGTACGCACCTATTTACATTGAGTTAAAATTCTTAAACTGTGATGTACATACATATGTACCTTCCTGAGCAGTAGAGTGCAATAAAAATGTTTTATACTTAAAACTATAGTATATACAACATATATTGGTTTGTGCGTCATATTAACAATTTGGGTGTGTCGTCATAAGAATGTTTAATGCAATTAACAAGTTTTTATTTTGTTACGCTTGCGGAAAAAGTTGGAGAAAATTTGCTTGCGTTGCTAAAGAGTATTTATATGTAAGAGCTATGTGGTTAAATACTTTTATATGTACCTATATCTTACAAAATATTTTTTTTAAATATTTAACCAAGTTAATCTCAACTAAGGTCTGTTTGATCTCGTAACTTACCAATTACAGAAAATGAAGAGTAAAGTAAATCAACACGTCACGCTTTGATGAAAAATTCCATTTACCATACATAGCATTTTATCAATTTAAACCAGGCAAATATAAATTTTTGGCCAACTTTTTTGAAAAGATATTATGTATGTACTGGTATTTGGTTTATGTACTTATTAAACAAATGTGATTACATGCATATAATAATATCTATATATCTGTTAAATAAATAATAAAAAAAAATATTTCGGATTAACAAATACTTTTGTATTATTTTAATTAATTTTAAAATCTTAAATACTAAATTCTATATTTCTCTTTGTTTTTTTTTAGAAACGAAAATATCGGGCATTTATTGAAACTACTCATTGAGACCGAAATGTCAGGAAAGTCCGTAAAAATAGTTTCTTTACTGTAATGCGTACATCCTAATATGTTATCTTCCGGTTCCTCTGATTTCTTACTACTATACAAATCTTTATATATGTAAAAAATAAAAAATTAATAATCAAATACAAACAAATCACGAAAAGTAGTTTTGTAAATGATAATACTATACATTTGTGCTAAATTTAAAAAATACCGGGTCAGTGAATTACAGTGAATAATATTTAATAATTTCGCAACTTATGCCGTAAATCGTCGTCATGTTCAAGTGCATTCCAATATTCAAGGGCTGTAATCGCCAAGTTGAATTCGTCGATAAACGTCATTGTTCGTTGCCTAGCGTTCCAGAGGAAATTCTACGTTACTCTCGCACTTTGGAGGAGTTGTTCTTGGATGCTAATCATATTCGAGATTTGCCAAAGGTAAGAGCATTTATTTAAATTATCAATAGATTACATAATTTTCTCGACGTAATGATTAAATTCACCCAAAAATATTATTTATTTTTTTAAATTGGATTTTCATACGTCCCCTTAGGGTGCTTAAGCAACTTACAAGGGGATGCTAAAATTCCATTCAATAGCCGTCGCACTTAGCCTAAATTATTATTATTATTTTTTTTTTTAAATTTAAGATATATTGCGATTCCTCAGGTAGATAGAAAAGCATATAAATATATTAGCTTTGGTATGTAAATATTGCAAACATTTTAATATAAAAATGTGTCGAGAGTTGTACAAATATTCCATTATATGGAAAACAATACGTATTTAAAATACAGAAATTTTAAAAAAATTAGCTTTGACCAGAAAAACTAAAATAAATTGTAATTAAAAAATAAGATCACATGTCTCAGTGCTCCTAGCGGAGGCTGCTGTATCAAGAATGTAATACTAGTTATTTTCACACGTTTAACTACAAATAATAGTATTATTTAAATATAGTACCTCGCGATATGCGAAAATGATAATTCTAATAATTTAATAGATGATTGCCTACTACAGATTCTTTCGTTGCTTCATGATACTTTAATTGCGTTTGTAGTAGTTAATAAACATAAAAATATGCAATAAAGCGTTAATTGTCAACGAAAATTTTACTGTGAGTATGAGTGCTTGTAAATTAAATTACTGCCTATGAAGGCAACTCTCACATTATTAATATTATTAATTCGTGTGAGCTTTCCTATTTGGATAGTGACATCATTGCATGGCGTTACTTAGCAAATATTTACTAACAATTCACAAATGTTACGCACAGCAACTTCTAATATAAAGCTAAAATACTAGATGGATGGGAGCTTAGCAGAAGGCAAAAAAAAAAAAAAAAAAAAAATGAGATATCATATGATATTTATGTATGTACGAAACGCTGAAAATTTTTATTAATCTTTTTCAATGATCTTCGACTTTTTTAAAACTAGTTTCTAACGACTAAAAGTCACAATATATCTGTATACAGTGAGCTACAAAAGAATACGTTCCGAATTAGCAGTTAAATTGCTAAAATTACATACAGATACGTAATAGCGTCTGCATATGTATTCATATACAAATACAAATTGTGCGAGCTTAAGCCAAGCATAAACGATTTTATCTTTATAGTTTTCTCATTTTGTATTTTAATAAATAAATTGACATGTTGTTGTTGTTGTTGTAGGGGTTCGCTAACCCCACTTAGGTACAGGTTTAATCAATCTAAGTCGCCGAGGTCATCTAGTTCGGGGTCCAGGAAACGTGATGTTTCGACGGGAGGGGACCAGAGGGAGAGGGGGGTTAGATGAGACGGTTTCAGGGGGCATGTGAAGAGCTGTCACCCTTTCGGCGACCTAACTGCGTGTAACATTAATTTGTTGTAACGGTTCGGTAGTTTTGCTTAGGAGCTGAAAAGATCAGTTCAAGTAGTCGAGGTCTTCTTAGAAGAGGCCCATGAAACGAGCTATTTCGACGCGTTTGGACCATAGGGAAAGGCGGATTTCTGACTCATTGCATGCAGAACAACGTATGTATGTGAATGTCGGGGTCAAATTTGCTTTGGTAGGAGTTTAGTCAACTACAATATCCAGGTTGAAGTTGAGCCAGTATTACGCGGGACTCTCGAGGCAGCTCGACCTCTTCGTCTGCAATAGGTGGATGTTTGACTCTGAAAACGCCATTTCGTCGAAGCTTTCGATTATATTCAAATCTGTGTAGCTCACTGTACCTTTTTGCGTTTATTAATGGAATTATTTAAGTCTACTTTTGTCTACAATCTATTGCTTACACATATCTATGTATGCATGTACATATGTAGGCACAAATGTATATATGTCATATGGATTTGTAGTTTGAAAATATAAAATAAGTTTGAAACCGGTTTTCAAATTAACACTTGAAATACATACATACGTGCATATACATACTTATGTATATAATAATAGGTGCTTCATAATAGCTTAAGCAAAGAGAGGAATCTATTACTCAAATGTCATTTCCACAGTCGGAGTCACTGATATTTCCTGCCGTTAAAAAAATAAATTGATAATATGGAAGGGTTAGCCAAGGGATCAGCATTTCGTATTGCCATTCGGAAGACCAAGGTGCGAGAAGTGGTCCGACAAACAAGCAAAAATTAGAGAATATTAATTTTAATTCAAAATAAAGTTTATTTATTCTGATTTTGGCCGCTCCTAGTCAGGGAATGTCATCAACTTCTCCGAGCTTATTTTTGGCATGAAATAATAAGCGCCATCAGTCGCCTTAAAACAAAAACTGTAGATCACTCCATTTGTTGGAAAAACCGATATCAAGACGCATTTGATGAGAACCTCGACCGAAAATCACTTCAGCTGTTACAGAGCGCTAAATGTTTTTGTATTTACCTATATTTATATAGAAAAGGCCTTGTCCTAAATAACTGACGGATCACCCCACAGCCTAAACCATTAATTGCAGCGATCTGAAATTTAAAGAGTTTGCTCTGCGTATGACGTATGTTATTCTGGGATGTGAGCCTTTGTACCGATCTATACGAAAAAAAAAACGAATTTATTTTTAAATCGTTCGATTTTCATTAACTTTTGGTACATAGATCTTTGTCTAACACTTTTTCTTCAGGATAGTGGACTTGGAACCGATCTATTCGAAAACATTTTATTTATTTCTACAGATTTAATTTTGGGCCTAAATTATTATGGTGAATACTTGTTTCCGTGAATTGGTCCTGAATTCTAACTATTCGAAAAAAGGCGTGTTTATAATTCGATTTCGCTAGAAATTTTAAGGCGAGAAATCTCTTTGTTGACTGTATATGTATAAGACTTCTATTTCAATTTCAAACGTTTTAACATTATAAGTAATAATTAAACGAGTAACGAAAAACCGCATAAAAAATATTAATTGAACCATTTAAAATCTTCGCGAACGAAGTCGAGGCTAAATTCTTCTTAAATAACTCTTATAATATAGCTTAAGCTTGAACTTTTGAGGCTCGGATTGTTGTTGTTCTTCTAGTAGTTGTTCCAACTCCGTTTAAGGACCGGCTAGTGAGTCTAAGTTACCGAGTTCATCTAACGGGTGGTACAAGAAACGAGCTATTTCAACAGCTTTGGGCCAGAGCGAGAGGTTAGAGGTGTTTTGGTGTTTTAGAGGGCATGCAAAGCGGTGGTTAGCATGGGATGGGGACTCGTTACAACGAAAGATATACGTTGGGTATGTTGGGGTCAAGTCTGGATAGGTAGGAGTTTTATCTGCTACAATATCCTGATCTAAGTTGCGCCAGTCTTACGCGGGTCTCTCTTCTTATGCTTTGTGTGGAATTTTAACTCCGAGGACGCCATTCATAGCGAGGGAGTTTTACAAGGTGTTGTTGGACTCCTGGTAAACGGCGTTTGTGCCTGTCTGTACGTCATTCTGTCAGCGGTTGTTGCACATGTTGCTGGATGGTGTCCTTTAAATCTAGTACTCCCTTTCTGATGTGCCTGGGTTCAGCTTCTAATAGATTCCTGTTGGAACAGGTATTGCTTGCATAACGACGCATCTATGCCTCGAGTTAAGAAGCATAATAAGTGATGCTCAGGCGCCAGCGGAAGGTTCCCTGCCACGCTCCTAAGGGCGGTGATTTGGCAGCTCTATAGCTTTTTCAACTGATGAGGCCCCGGTAGTAGCAGTCTGTTATACATACAGCCTTGGCTAAAAGTATTGGGCACCCCACTAATTACTGAATTTTTTGTTTTAACAAGTGAAGTAATGAGACTTTATTAGTGAAACAATGAAAATGCAATGAATTCGTAATAATAACAATAATATTTAGTAGATCCACCCTTCGATTTAATAACGGCAGCAATTATCGTCCGCTCTTATAGCGTACCATTCGTTAATTAAGGCATTCTTTAAGGCAGTTTTTGATGTTATAATGTGTCCCTTAATCTTGCGTATCAAAATAGTCCACACGTGCTCAATGGGATTAAGATCTGGGGACTGTGCAGGCCAATCTATCAACACAATGTTGTTATCTCTAAACCAACGCATCGCAGTCGCTAATTTGTGACAAGGAGCATTGTCTTGCTGAAATTGAGAATCGTCTACATTAGTATAGCCAAAAATGCGCAGCTTCTAATACATTTATGTACTTTTGGCTCTCCATGCGACCCTCGCAACCAAACATTTTGCCGACACCATCAGCAGCCATGCAGCCCCGGATCATAATGCTGCCTCCTTCATGCTCAACAGTGGGCATCACGCAATCAAGATGATATTCTTCCCAAACCCGTCGCCCCACGAACGTCACACCAGGTGTTCCGAATATCTGTAGAAAAGAAAAAATAATGTTTTCATAAGATTTGTATTATGTCTTCAAAGCTGCTCTACGGTAACAATCTATGACTGTTAATATTTTAAGACGATATTAACTAAGCTTACCTCGAAGTTTGGGTCATCAGGCCACAGAACATTCGACGAATCTTCTTCCGTGAAATGTTGGTATCGGCGAGCCCTTTCCAAACGATTTTTCCTATACTTTTCTGAGAGCCACGGCTTCTTTCGGGTTTTACATCCTTTTAAACCTGCTTCCAGAAGTATTTTTCCAGCTGTTCGAGCACCAACTGGTTTACTTAATTCAGCCGAATGGGCAGCTGCAAGGGCAGAAGAAGATATTTTCGTCTTCTCGTTTACTGGTTAGACGCTTTTTTCCACTTTTTGATTTCTAACTCTAGCATCGTAACTAATTTCACTTTTTAGGCAATTCGGTAAATATGAACTGTTTTTATAACTTTTGACTAAATGTACAGTAATTTACACTTTTACTTTAAAATTTTAAATGCGAAAATATTTTATGAATTTCTTAAAAATGACAATTTTTAGGTTTAGCTTACCCAGGGAGCTATGTCTTTTAATATTACGATTTTGCAAGTAAATCGAATTTTGGAAATTATTTTTTTGAATTT